GCAAGATTTTTTTCCAGGGCGGGGGGCTCTGGTGGAAGAGGCCAGCGCCTTTAAAACATGGTTTCAGCCAGGTGCGAGGCCCACGCGGGATGCCCGACTCCAAAGTTACCGCTGCTCTAGAAAAACATCGCGGCCTGAGCACTTGCTGACGTCATTCCTTAACGCTCCTTATTTCAATCAATGTTTATTGTTTAGGTTTTAGAGTATAAGCTACCTACCCTGCTCAAAACCCATTCAAACCATTGCGGCCCCTATGCAAAAAATTCAGAACAACTATACGACCCTCAACCCCAAAACCTTGCACCCCTAAACCTCCCAAACCCCAAACCCCTACGCCCTAAACCCACCAAAAACCCGCCCTAAACCCTAAACCCTAAACCCTAAACCCTAAAACCCTAAACCCTAAAACCCTAAACCCAAAACCTCCAACAAATCCAAATACCCTGAGGTTCCGAAGGCCATCGACAAGGCCGGGCTGGCTCGGAGCCTGAACTTGACAAGGATCCATCCCCCGCTCCTCCCTCTCTAAAGTTTATGGGGTCCCGGGTTAGGGGTTTTAGGGTTTTAGGGTTTAGCATTTTGGGGTTTAGGGTTTAGGGTTTAGGCTTATATATATATATATACTATATAGTTTAGGGTTTAGGGTTTAGGCTATAATAAATATATATATGTATATATATATATATATAAACTCCTGGAGTCTGCCCGTAACCCCCCCAAAAGTAGGCGAAATAATGGCCCGCCACCTGGAAAAGGCTATGATTCTACATGCTGTTGGGGCCCAGGTAGTGCTGTTTTTGAGTCCAGGGTTTAGGTTTAGGCAAAGGGTTTATGGCATTCGGCTTTGGGTTTCGATTTTAGGGCTATGCGGCTTTAATAGCGAGCAGTGCCCCTCATAGTCGCGGTATGATGGCAACGAACGCCTGAACCCAGTTTGCAAACCCTAAGCCCTAAACATAAACCCGAAACTCTAAACATAAACCCTAAATCCTAAACCCTAACCCCTAAACCCTAAACCCTAAACCCTAAACCCTAAACCCTAAACCCTAAACACAAACCCTAAGCTCTAAGCCCTTGAGGGCCCTGTACTCGTCATCTGCACGGGGACTGTGCATTTCATCTTTCGGCTTCACGCCCCGCCCATCAAGCACCTTCAAGGGTTTAGGGTTTAGGGGTTTAGGGTTTAGGGTTTAGGGTTTAGGGGTTTAGGGTTTAGGGTTTAGGGGTTTAGGGGTTTAGGGTTTAGGGTTTAGGGTTTAGGGGTTTAGGTTTAGTAGGGTTTAGGGTTTAGGGGATTAGGGTTTAGGGTTTCGGGTTTCGGGGTTTAGGGTCTATGATATACACCCGGTGCCTTAAACCCTCAGCTGAAAGCTAGCGCCCGTTGTTTCAGGAACAGCGACACGAGCGAATCAGAAGCATTACATCTCAGAATTTTCCCAAAACCCCTGAATTATAAGATCATGTGACCTCTCCGGGATTCAATATGTAGGCGCATGTCCAATGCATCGGGGCGTTTGGCTGTTGTAACCCGAAAGCCTCCTAAACGCCGGTGGCCGCTAATCCTAAACCCTAATCTCTAGACCCTAAACCTTAAACCCTAATCTCTAGACCCTAAGTCTCGGGGGAACCAACCGGAACCTTGACAACTCTGGCGGACAAGGGCTGGAACAGGAAGTCCTGAGCAACTGCTGGATGTCGGCTTGTCGGGTAGAATACGGTATGTGGCAGTTCGCTAGCAAGGATAGTTCTCGCCCCTATACTACCATGCGTTCCGATTTTAGCATTTTGTATGTCATGGAAATGTCACAGAAAGGAACAGGCAGTGGCGGGGGAATCGGTATGGCAAAGTATATGGCTGCATGAGAAAAAAAGTGCTGGCAAGACTAGTGGCTCGTGGCTTTTGTTCAGGTTCTTCTTGTCATCACAAGTTCATGCCGTGCACGCCCGTGGGCGTGAAAGGGCACTGCATTCCCGAATCGCCAGACGGGGACAGTGAACTCCAAGCAGCGCAGCAACATGTGGGCCTCAAAAATTAATATCAATATTCCTTAGGGCTCCTTGGTAGAAAACTTATCCGTCGCTTGGGGCCCCTTCCAGGCCCCTGTAGGTCCAACCTCAATCTTCCGGATTCCGCTGCCTGACAGTCCGGGCTTCATCAAACGGAAAACTCCAAATCCACTATAGTATAGTCCAGCCCGCGAACCGTGTTTTACCTTCCCGTCTTTTCCCGTATCCCTCCCATATCCCGCAACCATCCTGGGCCATTCTTGTGCAAGCCAGTTTTCATAGTCCACAATTGCAGCCGCACATCCACTTCTGCCGTTGATGATTGGGGTTTAGGTTTTAGGGTTTAAGGGTTTAGGGTTTTTGGGTTTTAGGGTTTTAGGGGTTTGGGTTTAGGGTTTAGGGTCGGGGGTGATCATGCTTGTCATGTGCTATTGGTGATGACTCTGATGATTCGTCGTGGTTCCGGCTCTCCCTGGTATCCTCGCCCCTACCTGGAGGATCAGGGAGACACAACGCACGTAGGCCTGACACAACCGAGGACACCCGTAAGACCTCCTAGCACACCCTGCTTCTGCACTGCAACACGACAAGTCGCGGCTCCACGGCCCAGAGAGCCGATACCCCTGCATCAAGGAACAAGCCCTTCAACCGGAATTGCCAGCCAAAATACCACCGAAGCTATGTTGGGCTCCCCTTTCATGACTCATGGGATCCTGAATCAGGGATGGAGTGTTAGGTTCGGTCGGTACATGCTGTTCAGAGCCCGCGGACAGTACACCTTAAACCCTAGAACCGAAACCATCGTAACCACAGCATGCCACACGACCAAAGCATTTACTAACACCACTAGAGCTGTGACAACCATTGTTCAGACAGCTGTAGCAGGGTAGCACTTCGCAAGATGTGTCCTTAGCTCACACAAGTTTGCTGCCGACATGCCGCCTGCCCCCTTTGTCGTGCTCGGGGCTGTTGTTCTATTTGCATTTTTTATTGGCGTTAATGCTGGTTGTGATTGATGTCGTATTAGTTGCTGTTTTTGCTGCTGCGGATTTGTTACATTCTTCCAGCGGAGGCTGCCATTGAAATGTGTCGGGCTGCCACTTCCTTGATCGCAAGCCATGCTTTAGGCTCCTAGCGACTCTTGTTGAAGCTGCTCACAGTTTCTAGATAGTCATGTGCCAGTCATTGTAGCATTCGTGTTGAGCCTCTGTCAGTGGATGATGCTCGCAGCCATAGTTCCCGATGCAGTTATGTTAAAACACGATACTCCCTGTTCAAATGTAATGAGGGGGCACTGACACGAGCTCGGGCATTAGATGAGTAGGCTGCATGGTTTCAGTCCTCTTTCTGTCTGGGGTAGACGTGTAGGGGGTTTAGATCGCTGCCTTGCTCCGACTTTGTGATAGGCCAACAACACGACGTTCAAGGCCTCCACGAGACGTACGTTGCATTGACTTGCCTTGGTTCTCTGTTTCAGAAACCCTGGAATAGGGCTCAGGGCTGTTTAGGGTTAAGGTCTAGATCTTACGGTTTAGGCTTTAGGGTGGCTGAGTCCCAGCTACTCCATCGTCTTCCTGTGATCTTCAGGCCGGTATAGATATTTGCTTGCTTGTGTTAGGACCAAAGTGAGTTGCCAGAGGTGCAGAGGACAATGTTTGAAGGAGTGTTGAGACTTAGGGTTTCGGAGTTTAGGCTTTAGGGTTTTGGGGTTTAGCACGCCCTCTTCGCCGCCAGCTAGACAGCTGGGTCCCTTTCAGCTTAAATTCGCCAGAGATTGCAAAGGAGAAAAAGTTGACGTTGGAGCCGTTTCCCGGACACTGGTGCGGGGCTCGGGTTGGAGTTGTATCGCCTCCCAGAGAGGGTGCCCCAAATATTTAACGCCCACATAGTCCATGTATGAATACCCTGCCCTATATACTCCAAACGCCTGGTAGTCCCATATACCCCTCGACTATCTGTCTATCTATCTATCTATTTATCTATCTATCTATCTATCTATCTATCGATCTATCTATATATCCATCTATCTATCCATCTATCTGACTATCTATCTACCTATCTAGCTATCCATCTATGTATCTATGTATCTATGTATCTATCTCTCTGTCTGTCTGTCTGTCTGTCTGTCTGTCTGTCTGCCTGCCTGGCTGTCTGTTTGTCTGTCTGTCTGTCTGTCTGTCTGTCTGTCTGTCTGTCTGTCTATTTGTCTATCTATCTATCTCTATCTATCTATCCATCTATCTAAACATATAATCCATCAAAGCATTGCAAAATCTTTAGAACCAGCAAGTTTAGGGTTTCGGGTAATTGTGAGACTCCCAGATGGTGCTTGGCTACCCCCCGACGGATTATGTACAAGCCTGACTGAATCGGGTTTAGGGTTTAGGGTTGCGTTTTTCATTTGGATTCCTTATGGCAAGCATACTCTAACGTACCGAAAACCCCCTCCCTTGATACCAGGCCCCTAAACCCTAAACCCTAAACCCTAAACCGTTAGTTGTTTTGAGAGGCTTTCCAGTCCAAGTCATCTTGGATCTTTGAGGGGTTTAGATGCGGCTATCCGGGAGTTTTGCTTGAAGCCCTAAGTCTTAAAGGGGCTTCCGGGCTTTACGGACCCCTAACTATGGGAATTATGGTATACTCCAAAAAAATGGGTAATGCAGGTTTCATATCATCAACCGTAATTTAGGTTTTGGGGTCCAGGCTTGCCTGAAAAGCCCTAGACCCGAGATCCCAAGCCCCATATCTGCAGAACGTGGAACCTCATGAGACGCCTAAACCCGTATGAACCCTAACCTAAATAAACCCTAGCCCAAATAAACCCTAGCCCAAATAAGCCCAAACCCTAACAAACCTTTAACCCTTGTAAACCCTAACCCTAACAAACCCTAAACCCGTATAAACCCCAACCCAAATTAACCCTGACCCTTATAAACCCTAAGCCTTCAATCGACTTCGCTCTGAGGGATACCCTCTTCCCGGATGGTGAGCCTATGGACTACCGCGGCGAGCTTGGCGTGAGAATTGAGGTTTAGGGTTTAGGGCTTCAGGGTTTAGTAGGGGTCTAAGGGTTTAGGGTTTAGGCCTTAAGGGTTTAGTAGGGGTTTCTTGAGGCTGCAGGCTTTTGCGTTTCGGAGTGTTTAGGGTTTAAGTTTTAGGGTATGGGGTTTAGCATAGGGCGTATAGGTCTAAGGTTGAACCCATGGACCCTTAGTATGGGCCCTTAACCCTGCGATCCTTATACACCTACTACATACCCTATATGTACCCTTATGGGTCCCTCGAAAGGCCCAAGGGCCCATATTAGGGGCCCATGCGTCTAACCCTAAAGTAGGGCTTAAGGCTTAGGGCTCATAGGGTTTATAGGCTTATATTCTAGGACATTTTTCAGGTGGGTAGTTACCGTTATAGGAGCCTTATAGAAGGTCTATATACCTTATAGAGGCCCTCTATACCCTAAACTCCCCACCTGTAGCTTCCTTTAATGTAGGGTTGCAGGCTCAGGGCTCGTAAGGTTCATAGCTCAGGCCGGGCTCATACAGTTTGTAGGGTTCAAGGTCAAGGGCTGATAGGGTTGAAGGCTTTAAGGTTTAGGGTTTAGGGTTTAGGGTTCAGGGTTTAGGGTCAGAATGTCACATTGCCGATCGGGTTTGCGTAGGCTCATAAGCTGTGTAGGGTTCACGGTTTCAGTTTGAGGTTCAGAGGGTTTTAGGGTTGAAGGTTTGAGGTTCATACCCCCCAAACCCAAATCCTAAACCCCAAACCCTAAACCCTAAAACCCCCAAGCCCGAACCCCTGAAACCCTAAACCCTAAACCCCTACACCCTAAACCCTAAAACCCCTAAACCCTGAAACCTCATGACCCTCGTTCTTAGGACCCCCTCGAGTGAGCCCCGACTTCTCTGAACCTGTTGCCAAAGGTCCCCCGGAAGAATCCCAAGGCACAGAGGGTTTTTGGGGTTTAGGATTTAGGGTTCAGGGTTGAGGATTTAGCATTCAGGGTTTATGGTTCAGGGTTTAGGGTTCAGGATTTAGGGTTTAGGGTTCAGGGTTTGTGCCATAGATTGTCTACATCTGTTCGAATTCATCTCGGGTTCATGGTCTGGATAAGAGGTTGAAAAAAACAACGTTTACGGTTGTTAGGTTCAGGAATTGTATGGGAGTCGGGGCGGGGCGTTTGGGCGGCGTGGGGTTAGAGCTCATGGGCAACATGGTTCCTACGGCCTCTTGCTGTATAATTAGAGGTCAGAGGTCCGAACTAGCCTTTCCTCAAAGTCAGGATGTATGCGTACATAAGTACGCCTAAACCCTAAACCCACGTTTCTCAGGAGAAAACGAAGGAATCATCCCTGAATGCTACAGTACCTCTCCAAGCTCTTCTGCTGTGCGCAAATCCCATCAAGCTAGGGCGTGTGGATTGACTACACCTTGAAAGACTTGACGAGTGACCGTGCCGGTTTGCCTTGCGATGTGATGCGATGTGCTGTTAAGGCTATCTCACTTGTTTACTGACCAGCCCGCGCCGAAAAAAGAACCTGTGTTTAGAAAATCCCCCATATCTAATCCCTAAACGCCTCAACCCGCTCTCGCTCGGATGGTTTGCTGATTGTTCGTATAAATTCCTCAACTCTAAACCACGAACTCCTCGAGCCCTCAACCCCAAACCCGTAAACCCTAAGCCCTGACCATGCATCGGCAGGAAGCTCGCGTGGAAGCCGTCGTGAGACGCGCAAGGAGGACAGAGCCCCACAGTCCTGAAATTCCAAATTACGCAAAAAGAGCTTTGGGGCTTAGGGTTTAGGGTTTAGGGTTTAGGGTTTAGGGTTTGGGTTTAGGGTTTAGGGTTTCGGGTATCGTAGGATTAGGGTTTGTGGGGTTCTTTACGTACCGGCTCCCAGCAAGAGGTTTACATGACAAAGTAGCAGATACCTTGAGAGGCGGCTTTAGCCTAAGCTTTAAACCTCACCCCCTCCACATCACCCTAAACCCTACATGGGTAGTTTTCTAAATTAGGGTCCCTTTTTGGGGTCCTTTTTATAAGGGTGCCGTACTATATTGGGGACCTACAATGGGACCCTAATTTAGAGAACTACCCACATCCTGAACCGCTCGCCCCCCCAAACCGAAAAAATCCTCAACTCTAGGCAGCCCCGAAACGCACTAAACCCCTACACATCCAAACCCCCAAACCCCAAACCATGTGGGGTAGCCCGCATGTTGAACTGCCTACTGGGAAGATATCCCATACTGGAGGCGGTGCAGCATGTGACGTTAAACCACTCGTGTTTCGATACCTTTGCCACACCTATGCTCATGCCGCTGCTCCCTACTGCCGTCACAAACTGGCCTCTGAGATGTGGTCTCAACCAGACTTCCTGTTGTTTGATGTGGACGTAGATGTCACTCCGCTTGAGGGATCGGCGAGATCCAATGTCTCCAGATTTGCGTCTGGGTGGGCTCGATGCGAAGTACAAGAGGTACAATGCCCGATGCGAAGCACAAGAAGTACGATGCCTCCTTGACCACTTCTTTTCGGAAACTGATCTCAGCTTCCGCTCAACGCTTCTATGGCCCTAAACTCTAAACCATACTGTGTTCATTGGAGAAGAAGCCTGCGACCTGTCTGCGTGTGCGGGCGAGTATCATGCTGCACTGATGACCAGCAAGAAGTAGGTAGGAGACTCCTAAACTCTAAACCCTAAACCCTAACCCTAAACTCTAAAGCCTAAACCCTGAACCCTTAACCCTAAACCCTAAACCCTAAACTCTAAAACCTAAGCCCTGAACCCTAAACCCTAAACCCTAAACCCTGTGCAGGCGCAAATTTTCGTAGTGCATCGGCTTGCAGCAGCCGCATAGATTAGCCATGCTCTTCGAGCCTGCCGCCGGTCACGAACCCTTAAGCCCTGAAAATCCAAACCCCGGAGCCCTAAACCCTAAACCCTGAGCCCTAAACCCTAAACCCTAAATCCTAAACCCTAAACCAAAACCCTAAGCCCTGAACCTACGAAGGAGTAGTTCCTCGCAGCAAGTGGCCATCAGATAATTGGTTCCTATGTGGGCTGATGGCTTCCTTCAAGGGCTCCTTGAAGCTTTGTACGCTGTAGAACGCCCTGAAACAAGCGCCTTAAGGATTAGTATAGGGTTGGAGGAAGGGGATTATATATACTAGGTGCATAAACAAGAACCCTCAGGAATACTATGGGTGGTTATTATACTATACTTAGAAATAGGAACCCTTAGGAACAGTCTGGCTACTTGCTCGACTCAGGTTTCTGCTTTAAGTGCCCTAAACCCTAAACCCTAAACCCTAAACCCTGAACCCTAAACCCTAAACCCTAAACCCACTGATCTCTGAGGCTTCAGGGCTCCTGATTCTGGGGTCGAAACCTGGCTATTGTCATTTTTCTTGCAAATACGAATACTCCTTGTATTGTGATTACTGCTGTTATTCTTGCCATTGTTATTATTGTTGTGACTTAGTTTTTGTTATCGTTATTGCTGCGGTTATTGTTGTTTTTATGGTACTTGTTCTGTTCACTATCATTGTTACTATCGTTGCTATTCTGTTATTGTAAATTCAACAAGTTTTGACTGTTATGGCAATGATCAGGACAGGATCCCTCCTCGACCTGGTTATGCTGCTGCAGAGCAGGCGGCGGTTCAGGGGTTGAGGGTGTCAGGGCTCAAGCTTTTTGCTTGGGATTTGGGGCTTAGACTCTAGGGCCTAGGGACGTAAGTGATGCAAGCTTAAAGTGTAAGGCGCTCGTAGCAGCAGCTATGAGCAGCAAAGTTGAGCCTTTCATTCCCTGGTTGATTGGAAAAATCAGTGTTTGAGGCTACTTTACAGCTCTGTCTAGTATAGAGGCTTGGGTAATTACCAATATCATTTCTTCGGATTCCTGTGTTTAGTACAGTTAATGTAATATACCACAAAACCCTGATCTAAGAACGATGGCCCCCTTATATTTTGTCATCACGGGAAAGAGAACCTATAACAAGAACCAACCTGACGAATATCCTGCATCACCCTAATGCCCTAAACCCTAAAGCATCCCGGGAGGTTGGCAGAACATGGATTTGCATGGATTTAAGGATTCCAGGTCGAGAGCGCAAAAACTTTAAACTTGAAGCCCGGAACCCCAAAATCCGCCAGGCCCTTAACCCTAAGCGCCCGAAACCCTAAACCTTAAACCCTAAAGCTGAAACTCTAAACCCTAAACCCTAAACCCTAAACCCTAAACCCTAAACCCTAAGCCCTAAACCCTAAACCCCTAAACCCCCAAACCCCAAACCCTAAGCCCGAAAGAGGATCCGGAGTTTGAGAGGGCTCGGGGGGCACAGCAAGGGCGCCAAAGCGCCATTCGGAGGCCCGGCATAGGGCCTTGGGTTTAGGGTTTAGGGTTTAGGGTTTAGGGTTTAGGGTTTACGGCCTAGGCTCTAGGGTTTAGGGTTTAGTTTTTAGGGCCTAGGGTCTAGGGTTTAGGGTTTAAGCTTTAGCGCCGAGGGTCTAGGGTTTATTAGGTTTTAGGGTTTAGGGTTTCCGAATTCCAAAAAAGCTCCTGGAACACGAAGCAGACACAGCAAACTTAAGATAGAGTCCGTTTTAGGGTTCCGTAAACGGATCTAAAAGAGGGTTTCTATAAGGCTTCTATAAGGGCACTATAGGGTTAATTGTGTAAATTAGGGTCCCTTTTGACGGCACCCTTTAACAAAGGACCGCTGAGGGGGACCTTCATGTAGAAGAAAACTATTCAAAAAAGTTTCATATTAGCTGAAGTTTAGGGCGTTTAGGGTATACAAGACGTACTAAAAGCCGAAGGACCACTTGCTACGTAGCAGAAACTTCGGGCTTGTGCTCGTGCGATCCCCGGATGTTGGAGTTTTGGGCCCTCCGTCTCACTCTCCCAACCTCAAGGCCTTGACCCTTAAGCCCAGACCTTACGCCGTGATGTAAGGCCCTACCCACAGGCCCCACATTTGTTCCTTTTTGGGATTACCTAATAGGATCCTAAATATAAGCTACAAAAAGAAACTACTATGGGGCCTACGGGTAACGCCTGAAGCATCAAGCTCCTCTTGAGTTTTTGAGAGGACCGGTGGGACGAGCAGCGCGACTCGCGGCCAGGCTCGCCCGCTGGGTTTGGACGAGAGATTTATAGAGCAATAGCCTCTTCAAGTTCCTACTGGAATTTCTCTACATCATTTCGCGAAACCCCGCTTCAACATCTCTATTTCTCCCATTTTCTCCCCAAAGTTCCACAGTCAGGGACCAGAAGAGTTCGACGAAAGGTACTTTGGGGGATCCTTGTTTGTAGGTTTTCAAAAACTCCCGGACCTCACGCTGCTTAAGCGTTCATGGGACTCAGTAACTAGGGTAAAGGATAGGGTAGGCCATACTTATAATTACCCTAAACCCTAAACCCTACTTATAATTACTTGTGATCCCAATAAGGATGCTTATAACCTTGCTCGAAGTCCTACTCGAAGTCCCACGATGCTCCATATAATGTAGGGGCCTAAAAAATTTCCTATACTGTGGTGTGTGGGTTCCTTGTCAAAGTTTATAGTATACTGGGCCCCAAAACCCTATTCTAGTTCTTTAGGCCTCTAAACTTCAAACCCTCAAAGTAGCCTTTCTAGAACCCTATTGGGGAACACCAAAACCCTATTCTAATTATTAAGGCCCCTTAAACCCTAAACCCTAAACCCCTAAACCCAAAAATAAACCCCCAAACCCCTAAACCCCTAAACCCCTAGACCCTAAACCCTAAACCCCCTAAACCCGAAACCCCTAAACCCCGAAACCCGAAACCCCAAACCCCTAAACCCTAGATTAGGCGCCTTCAATGGCTACGGCCAGCCTGTTTCCGGCCACCACGGGGCGCGCGGGGGCCCGGCAAATCTGATCAGGGCACAGGGCTCTTGGGCCAAGGCCAAGACCCTGCAACCTGTCTAGGGGTTTAGGGTTTCGGGGTTTAGGGTTTAGGGTTTAGGATTTAGGGTTTAGGGTTTCGGGTTAGGGGCCTAAATAATTACCAATACGATTTGTGTTTGTGGGGTTCCTTGATATATTTGTAGTATAATATACTCCAAAACCCTATTCTGATTATTAAGGCCCCTACCTGAGGCCGTCTTGAACGGAACACTCTGCCTCTCCATGTCTGTCCTTTGAGCTCAAAGCTCCGAGTTTCGTTGGCCTCCGTAGTCTGAGCCCGGCTATACCTTGTAACGCGAGAGCTGTCTAAGGCACCCCAGAACTAAGTTTACCCCCGACGTGCGTTAACATCGCCTTAGCTCTAGAGGGCATAACCGGCAGATGCAAGGCACCACCCGCAAGTCCTAAGCCTTTCTTGGACCTTCTTTCTCTTTGCAATGCATCTGGCGAGCATTGCCGAGCGAGTCGATTGGACGACTGCTCCCCCCCAAACAAACTTCAGATTCCCCAGCACGACCGACTCCCTTGCAGGGGCAAGCAGCAGCTCAGAGACCGGTGGTGCCCGCATCCGTGCAAGATCGCCCCACCGGGCCATCGGACCATCTGGTACCCGGATGGAGAGACTGTCGTGGGACAGGCCGGCGGCTGGTGCAGCTGAGGCTAAGTATACACCGCCGTTTATCAAACCCTAAACCCTACAGTAAACCCTAAACCGGCGCAGAATTCGGATGGCAAGTTGGAAGCTGCTGTTCCAACGGCCTGGGAGACGTCAAAACTTGGGGTTCGGGGTTTAGGGTTTGGGGGTTTCCCTCAACCCTAGAATCCCAACTTGACCCTAAGCCCGAAGCCCTAAGCCCTACACCTTAAACAGCCAGATATTCAGGGCTTTAGGTGCTCCAACTTGGCCCTGAGCCCTAAGCCCTACACCTTAAACAGCCGCCACCGCCGAAAGCAAAACTTAGATTTTCGGGGTTTAAGGTGCTCCAGCGTGTCAGAGGACGGACCCCGAAGACATAAGCGAAAAGATTACCCAGCAATGCTTTTCTGTAAGTCCCCTTGGCAGAGTAGACAAGGGCTCTTTTTAACTTCCGCAAACCCCCAAAACCCCTATATAAACCCTAAACCCCCCAAACCCTAAACTCCATCTTGCTTTGTGGTTAAGAGTCTTCTTGCAGGCTTTAGGGCCTTCGAGATTTTCTTCTGAGTGTGGTCTTCTATATTGCTTCGCGGACTTGATCGAGGCTTGAACCATCCTTAAGGTCTTAAACCACAAAAGATTTCAGACCCTGAACTTTGGGTGTAGGGAGTTTAGGGTTATAGAAGCCCTACATACCCTAAACTCCCCACCTGTAGTTCCTTTAACCTAACATATCTGAAACCAGAGTTTGGGCTTGAGGGTTCAGGGTGGCATCATGGTATGTTCCGCCCTGGGTACAGCTGCCACAGCAAGACCATGATAAAGCCCAGAAGAGCTAGGGTTCAGCTGGTATGCAGTTGGTGTTTGGACCAGATCTAAAGACTGATACTCGCTGAGAAGCCCTAAACCCCACACCCTAAAACCTAAACTCTAAACAAAATCCCTAAAACCTAAACCTTAAACCCCCAGAGTTTACTATAGCACGGTATAGTATAGAAAAGTAGAGTATCGTATAGTGTAACAAAATCCCTAAACCCTAAACCTTAAACCTCCGAAATCATCCTCAGACCTCACCTGATTCCCCTCAGTGCAGGACAACAGCACCGAACCTTCCACAAAAGACCAAAAGTATAGAACAGCATGGTCTGGTATAGCATGGTAGAGTATAGTGGAGTGTAGTGGAGTATAGTGGGGTACAGTGGAGTAGAGTATATTATAGTACGGTATAGTCTAGTATAGAAAAGTAGAGTGTAGTATAGTGCCGTGTAGTGTAGTAAAGTAGAAAACGGTTAGCATAGTATAGTATGGTATAGTCTGGTATTGTATCGTATCGTACCGTATCGTATAATATAGTATAGTATGTAGGTGGTTTCCTGTAGTAGATTGTGCTCGTTTGTTGCATGCAAAAGCTGGAACGGCTTAAGCAGCCCTGTCAGACTAGGACCAGGCGCTGCAAACATCCATCATACGCAAAACCTCAGCTGTCACAGAGATCGTTCTTCAGTGCTTCATCACAAACTCTAGGGGGGCAGAGTGGTAGTGATGATTATTTAAGCTTGGTGCTTCATCAATCGGCAAGATTTCAAACTTAAGCTCCACCTCGCCGCATGCTGACTGACGCAGTTTTGGGCTAAGGCCACCGCCATCGCAAGGCGCGCAAGGGTAGGTTTGAATGGTTTGAGTGCTTATAGACACTGAATGCTAGTAGATGCTGCGTGGAGGGACCTATAGCCTACATTTTTGTAGCGTTCGTATACAGCTCACACTAGTTCAGACCCCGCAAAGAAGTATATTTTGGCGGTACGGTGAAACCTTGCGGTAAAGCCTCCCTAAACCCCAATAAACCCAAAACCCTAAAGCCTAAATATGGGCTTCGAAGCGCAAGTGACGAAAAAGGCCCTTAAACAAAAACAAAAGCCCGAATATTTCTGTTGTGACTTCTTGGGTCGAGCGCCTCTTTGAGAAGAAGTTTGGGGCTCTAGGGCTTTGGGGTTTGGGGTATAGGGTTTTGGGTAGGGGCTGTTGCTTTCTGCCATTGCGCTCATGAGCATCCCTGAACAGAATCCAAGGCAGTGAGCCCTAAGCCCCAAGTGAGGCCCCTAAACTTTAACGCAAGTATGATAATATAGAGCCCTTATTATAGAAACCTAGGGCCCTGCAAAGTGATGTCCTCTTCTGTCTATATTATTGTCATTATCTTTGAGGCCGCTATTTCAAGTCCTAGGATCACTAGTGATATTCACTTGTGTCGTTCTGGTTGAATCGGCCGAGCATATTATTGCATTACCCTCCCTTGGCGCGACCTCGAACCCTAAGCCCTAAATCCTAAACCCTAAACCTTAAACCCTAAACCGAGCTGGCTGGATTCAAACTGTTCGGTCTGAGCCCTAGACCCTAAAGCCCATACCACCCTAAACCCTACAGTAAACCTTACATTCGGGAAATCTATGGGATGGTAGTAATGGTTCAGGCTCACACTACGGCCACGCGGCAGAACAGGGCCGCGAGCCTGGGGCGCTGAAGTTCATGGGGTTTGGGAATTGCGGTCCCGAACCAACCCTAAACCTTAAAACCCCAAGCCCTAAACCTAAACACTAAGCTCTAAACCCTAAACCCCAAGCCCTAAAGCCTAGACCCTAAACCCTGAACTTGCTGAAGCTCAAGCTTCCTGCCCCCAAGAAGCCAAACATGCAACTATCAGGGTTTAGCAAGCGTTTTATGAATGTTTGAAGTGGATGGTTGGATAGTGCAGCGCCGTGGTGAGACCTTCTATTCTTCTTCTCAAAACTATTACAATGTAATGTATCCGAAGACTCCATTCTATTTATTAAGGCCCCGGGCCCCGTGCTACCCGCGAGATCTCTGAAGCACCAACAGTGCCATCTTCAAACTTGGGCTTACTGGCTAGGATTTAGGGGTTAGGGGTTTAGGGTATCGGCTCTTACGGTTTAGGGTATCGGCTCTTAGGGTTTAGGGTTGAGGGTTTGGGGTTTAGGGGTTTAGGGGTTTAGGGGTTTAGGGGTTTAGGGGTTTAGGGTTTAGGTTTGGGATTTAGGGGTTAGGGTTTAGGGCTTTGCGCCTCTATGCAGCAATGTGGTTCGTGGTTGTTGGATTTGTCTGCTTTTTGGCTTCCGGGGTTTGAAGAGGGTTTGGGTTTAGGGCTTAGGGTTTAGGGTTTAGGGTATACTATAATAGGGGCCTAAAGAATTACCTATACTATTTTGGGTGGTTTCTTTCTGAAAATCATAGTAGAATGTACCCCCAAACCCTATTCTAAATATTAAGGCTCCTATATTAACAGCCACACCCTCAAACCCCACCCCAAAAAAGGAGTGAGGAACCAATCTTACAAGTGCGTAGTATCCTGCAGCCATGTCGCAGCCGCAGGCCAATGGGTCAGGCACGAAGCATATGGTCCGGATCCCGGCCATTTGTGAAACGTTTGTGGGGTGTGAGGCGTAATGATAATAGGGGCCTTAACAAGTAGAATAGGCCTTGGGGCATATTATATTATAATTACAATAAGGAACCCCCAAAATAGTATAGGTAATCAATTAGGCCCCTACGGTAATAAAGACACTGCACGGTGTAGGCACGCCCAGAGCCCCAAACCCGGTACGAGTTGGGGGCTCATCCATGCTGCATGTTTAGGGTTTAGGGCCATGACTTGCGCCGCTGCAGCACAACACTCACCACAGCATTCCCCAGGCCAGCTTGAACAATTAGCAAAAATAGGGTCCCCTTATAGTCCCTGTAGAACTACACAAGAATATACAACAGAACCCTACTCTAATCACCAAGGCCAGGCCAGCATTCGGAACCTTATAATATATATATATATATAT